CTGACAGTGATGAAGATTTTGACGACCAGCGTTTCACTAGGACAGGCGGCCGTTTCTATGGTCAGGATCAAGGGGAAACAATAGCACAAGTCTTCGATAGTTTCGTAAGAAATCTTTTCACGTTGACTGGAGAAATGGGAGTTGTTCTTCCTGGTGGAAGCGATACCATGTTTTCCTACTACATTGACATAGAAACAGGAAACTTTGCCAAATGGGAGGTACTCGTTCCTCCAATTCGTGCTCTCATTGCTAAATCGATCACAGACCACTTTGTCCCAACTGATTCAATTGGTGACGAAGTTATGATGGATTACGACATCGATCGCTCACTCGTCCCTACACTTGACACAATTCGTTATTCGTTTTTGGTAACGATAATGGCTGTAAGTAAGCAACCAGTATTGCTGACAGGAGGTATGGGTGTTGGTAAGACCGTTCTTATTATGGATATCCTGTCGCGARTGAGTCACCGRGGTGGCACTTCTACAAATGCTGGTACCATCCTAGGTGCAGTTTTCCGCTCTGGTGGGAAGAARCTCGTGGAAAGCATTCTAGAGGCCAGTTTAGGGATGGATAACACTGCCTATGGRTATGACGACGAGGATGATACGTCTGAACCCTTGTYTTTTGAGAAYATCTTATTTTCAGCTCATACAACTGCCTCTCGAGTGCGTTCGTTTATCGAGTCCAAGCTGATCAAGCGTGGKAGAGAAGCACTYGGCCCYAAACAAGGATATAAGGTAAGAATATATTTTTTTATCTCTTGTCACATGCCTCCCAATAATTAATGAATATGTAATTCAGAGTTTACTGTAATCGGCTAGTAAARACGTTGAACGAARCAGTTTTGGTCTAAGKTGTGCGCGTTGATCGGATATGGATTGGTTGGTGGCTGCTAGGCACCTTTGTCCTTACTTGTACCGGCAGTAAGAGTGTTGAATCATGCAAATGTATTACGCTTCATTAGAAATTGAAATCACATTTTAGGAAAACTTTCCCATTTTCGCAAAATCAAGTTTTTTTGGGGGTTATTCAGATAACCCTTCCAGGTTCTTGATAGTTATAATTGTAAGTATCAATATTGTTTTGTAATTATCAGATGGTGATTTTTATGGATGATCTCAATATGCCTCAACCAGACGTCTACAATTCTCACCCTCCTCTTGAGCTTGTCCGTGAGCTAGTTGACTCTGGAGGATTTTATGATACCAAGAAACTRCTTTGGAAGGAAGTACACGATGTTACATTGTTAGCTGCGTGTTCTCCACCAGGTGGAGGGAGAAGTCCGTTGAATGATCGTCTTCTTCGACATTTCAGGTAACTTGCTGCCGCCTCGTGCAAATCGTATTAATTTCCTGCTTTGAATTGTATGAATATATATTGTGCTTTTACGCTCACTTGGAAATATATATTTCACTTGGAAATATATATTTTCAATTCTCTACATAATGTAAAAAAAAATATCAGCAGCAGTTCTAATCATAGATGTTGAAATGGCAAAACGACGCGGAAAGTCAGTCACGTGATCTTTTTTCCGGTTGATTCAAATACGGGATCGGCAACAGTTTTATAGCTTTAGGTGTAACGATTTATAAGTCATTGTAAATGTAATTGATTGTAAATGTCTTGTCTTTATTTTTTTCAGCATCCTAAATCTACCTTCGCCTACTACCAATTGGCTGAAGCATATCTATGGAACACACCTTGGCCGTTACCTGGAGAATAGTGAATTTACAGATGACGTCCGTAATTTGCGTAATAAAATAGTTAATGTTGTTATGGATCTGTACAACAAGATGAGCAGCGGACTTCTACCGACACCTGCCAAGACTCACTACACATTTAACTTGAGAGATATCAGTAAGGTGAGATATCAGTAAGGTGAGATATCAGTAAGGTGAGATATCAGTAAGGTGAGATATCAGTAAGGTGAGCTGGGCACTATGTCTAGGAAATCTTTATCATCAAGCGAGAGTTGAATCATTTGAATCATATCAATTTTAAAATTTAGGTCGTTTGGAGAAATATTCACTCGTTTTGATTGACTTTGTCTTCCGTAATTAGTAAATGTCGGCCATGTTTGGATTTCTTTAGAGACCAGACCTGTTTTTCAAAAACAAAAGGAAGTCRAACATAATGCACWGGGATCTAAAGTGGGAGTCTAGTATAACAATAAATGATTATAGACATACCATATTCCATATTATATTTGATATTTTTTGATTATATTTGATATTTGTTATAACATTTTATCGCAGCAGGCATCTTATTCAGATGTTTTTTTTTGGAAAATAAACACGAAGCAACTGATAGTTGTAGTTTGTGATGTCATCATGAAAGTTGATAAAATATGATGCTGAATAAGCATAACTTAGTAAAGTCGAACCCCTTAGTCATTKACRGGTCACCCCTGGCWYAGYAAARACCTTGTYAAGTAGAGGAAACACCATATTGAGGGWGACCGGTATAGGGTCGCTTTAAGAGTGAATGGAATGTTGTTTTATCAGGTGATCGATGGTATGCTTCAAGCTCATCCAACGGTTATCACTACCAYAGAKCACTGTATCCAGTTACTAATACACGAGTGTTGTCGGGTATTTCACGATCGTCTAATTAATGAAGATGACCGTCGCTTCTTCTATGGTGCACTGTCRGAGACGCTTCATACGGGCTTTAAAATCAACTGGATGACTGACGCACTGCGGAATATGCCAATTATGTTCGGAGACTTTGTAGACACAAGCAGCATATCATCTAAAGGCACCAAGGTCTATCATATGATGCAACATCAAAGGGTTGTGCGAACGCTAGAGGTTTGTCTTTATACTAAATCATTGAAAGATTGATTGATTGATTGATTGGACTGATTGACGATGGATTTATTTATTAATTTGATTGATTGATTGGTCGCTTGGTTGATTGATTGATTGGTTGGTCGATTGATTAGTTGATTAGTTGATTGTTTGATTGATTGATTGATTGATTGATACATTTATCAATCGATCATGGGCTGATTGAATAATGGTTGGTTAATGGCATTAAATCAGTTATAAAACTTTTGATCGTTTTCCTTTCCCTCTCTTAGGATAGCTTTGGTCAAGCCAGACATTCTTGGGGGTCCTCCCAACACCGACCCGTTTTCTTTGGCATGGCTGTRCGGCATATCACTCGCGCTGCTCGAGTATTGCGTAACCCGGGGCATCATATGATGATGGTTGGCGTTGGTGGGACAGGTAAGTGCACTGTAGCACGCCTAGCGGCGTATATGGAGGAGTGCCACTTCATGAAACCCGTAGCATCCCGTGTGTACTTGCGGCCTGAGTTCTGTGAAGATATCAAGAGAGCCTACTTAAATGCTGGTCTAAATGGAGAGAATACAGTTCTGTTCCTTACCGACAATGTTTTAAAGGTCAGTTGACAAACAGTGTCTTTTAGTTTTCCCTTCACGACCTTAAAAGGCCGTGGTCGTACCTTAACATGYCGACCAGTGAGCTTGCAATGCATGARGTCAATGAATGGTCGGCAACGATTGAAGTTAATTGACGACAGGCAGAAAAAAAGTCATAAGTAATAGATCAAAACCGAAAATGTAGCTCTAAAAACCTATTATTTCAACAAAAATGTACTTTTCCAGGATATCTTTCTGGAAGACATTAGCAGTATTCTAAGCTCGGGCGAAGTCCACGACGTTTTTGAAAAAGAAGATGTGGAGAACATTGTGTTGACTCTAAACCGAGAGGTGACTCGACTCGGAATGCGAGACTCGAAGAAAGCCATCTTTGAGTACTTCCTACAGCGCGTTAAAAAACGACTTCATCTTGTGATATCTACCAGTCCTGTTGGTCAACACTTRAGACATCGATGRCGATTGTATCCATCGTTAATAAACTGRTGTACTATTGATTGGTTCGATACWTGGCCYTTGGARGCGCTACAATCAGTGGCAGCCTCCTTTCTAGAGAATACAGACTTTGACATTGTCCAGGCTACAGATACACTGGCTCTA